GGCAACAGACACCGGGGTAACATAGAGCTGTAGCAGTAGGAGAGGAGTGGTGGTAAATATCACCCTGGCTCACGACCCATCACGTTCACCCAATACACTCCAACAAACTGGAACAATTATCACGGCCAAAGTTGGAAATTTCAACCTTTGTGGTTTTAAGAACGGCACAAAGCTTGTCCTTGTGTCGGAAAAATAAACGTTAAAGGCATTAGATTTCCAACATATTGAATACCACATCCATATGTATAGATTTGTCCAACAGTTTCCATTAGGATAAGAGTGGTGCAAAGTTCCTCCACCACGGAGGTATAAACAGTTACTTCAGGTTTTCCCATTACTCCTGCAGCGAGTCTGTGTGAGCTCCATCATTGTATCGGCGTAAGACAATGCTGCGCCACGTTGTGTCAAACATCTGGCTCAGCTTCGATGGTAAGATAGTTGTGAAATTCTTGAAGGCCGCCATCTGCACTTGTGGACCACACCGTGTAAATGAGTGAAGAATGTGCAGCCTAATTCTACGACTTGGACGTCAGTCAGAAAAAGTGATTGTGGCAAAGTATGTTTAAACACTGCAACGTTCAAGAAAACTGTGAATCATAGTTCCAAAATAAACGTTTTTTATTCTTGGTTTAATACAGGTTGACGTGTCTTAAATAAACTTGAATCCACGTTTTCAAGATTGAAGCCTAATTTATGCAGGAAAGTTAGCGTGGAGGAGAAATGAGAGAGTAGTCTAGTGACGCCAACCCGTCCTCGACTCAAGCCTATTCCATCCAGCGGTCGACCCCACAGACGCATTCATAAATTTTAACATGCTGTTCATTCAAAACAGGAATTTTCTCAAGTATAAATTAATATTATAATATATTAGCATATTGTGCATATATAGGCATAGGTTAGGTTAGGTGTTTAGGTTCTGTTGACGATTATTTGTATTTGTAGTACGTGGGTGAAGCATTTACAGCGTTGTTTTTCGAACAAAATTCGTCAGTGAAGCACTTATTTCGGAATGTTCGAACGAAATCAGTTGTGAGTCGGCCCGTCCTCCAAACAAAGATCCAAAAGTGATTCCATGCACCCGCCAAACCCCCTGTTTATGAATGAAAATCGGTTTACACACGACTCACAACTGCTGACGTTCGAACATATCCGGAACAAGGGCTTCACTGACGAATTTTGTTCGAATCACAACGCTGTAAATGCTTCACCCACGTACTACAAATACAAATAATCGCCAACAGAACCTAAACATCTAACCTAACCAGTGCCTAAATATGCACAGGATGCTAGTATATAACAATAAAATTATATTTGAGAAAAATATATATTTGAGAAAGTTCCCGTTTTGAATTAACAGCATTTTAAAATTGATGAATGCGTGTTTCGGGTCGACCGCTGGATGGAATGGACTTGTTCTGAGGACGGGTTGCTCACGTACTACAAGATACAAATAATCGCCAACAGGACCTAAACACCTAACATAATCCAATTTAGACCTAACTATATACCAAATTCTATAATATATAATAATGTTAATCAGCATTTTCTCAAATATAAAATGTGAATACAGAGTACGATAAAATGAATGAATGTGTCATTACAAGGGTGAGCCGCCGCTTGGACGAGGCTAGCCTCATGACGGGTTGATTCCCAGCAAGGAAAGTACAAACACGGCAACACTGAATCGACAAGATGCTGGGGTCGAAACACTGCCAAGACATTTAGACACATTTCTCAGAGCGCGTGCTGCCATTGCAACACTGAATCAATAGGGAAAACAAGACTGAAGCGTGGAATCACTCGGTGAGGCGCGTGGGTGTCAACACGAAGTCAACAAACAAGTCATCGTTATTTGTCTTGCTTCACTTGCTTATGTCATCCTGACAGCACAGTCTCCACTACCACTCACGGCGGAGGACGTGACACAGTGCAGCAGATGGTGGTAATGAACGGTAGCCAAGCTGCACGGCTCTCGTAATGCTTAAATTATAAGGTAGGACGACGATACTGGTAGTATTCAATACCATTGGCGTGCCGTGGTTAATGTGCGGGCGAGACAGGTAGGTGAGGACGCGGCGTAGTCCAGGTTGTAGAAGACAATGGAAATATCACGACGTGTATCATAGCAATTGGGCAACTAAATAGAATCAGTAAAAATTTTCCGGAGTGTGAGGCCATATTGGCCAGTGTATGTTCCCACCGCCGGTGCCTGTGTGCGAGCCTCCTTCATGTCTCACCCGACCCTTGCTTCTGTCTGGCTATCATGCTATCATGAGTGGTGACTGTGTAGCAGTACATGGTGCAGCAGTGTTCCCATCAGATAACCTACACCCTCACCAAACTACCTTTTATTTCCTGGTTTGCCTATTGACACTGCGCGCGCGTGTGTGTGTATGTATATGTATGTATGTGTGTACTCACCTATTTGTGCCTGCAGGATCGAGCGTTGGCTCTTGGATCCCGCCTTTCTAGCCTTCGGTTGTTTAAAGCAATGACTCCTGTCCTTCTTCTCTGTCATACCTGGTTTAGAAGCTTTGAATGATGCTTGCTTCCACAATGTGCTTCTTTAGTTCATTCCATTTCCCTAATACTCTCACGCCAAAAGAAAACTTTCTAACATCTCAGTGACTCATCTGAGTTTCCAGCTTCCACCCATGTCTCCTTGTTCTGTTAGTATTCCGTGTGAACAGTTCGTCTATTTCCACTCTGTCAATCCCCTAAGTGTTTTGTATGCTGCTATCATATCTCCCCGTTCTCTCCTTTTTTCTAACGTCGTCAGGTTCAGTTCCTTCAGTCGCTCTTCATATCCCGTCCCATGCAACTCTGGGACTAGCCTCGTCGCAAATGCTTGAACCTTTTCCAGTATCCTAATGGTGTCTTTAGGTGGGAGGCTCTAAGATGGGGCGGCATACGCTAAGACTGGTCTCATGTAGGCAGTGTAAAGCACTTTGAATGCCTCCTTACTTAGGTTTCTGAGTGACGTTCTACCTTTTGCTAGTGTAGTGTACGCTGCTGTCGTTATCCGATTATATGTGCCTTGGGACTTAGATTTGGTGTTACGTCCACACCCAGGTCTCTTTCTCAAATCGTCACAGGAAGGTAGTTTCCCTCCATTGTGTACTAATCCTTTCGTCTCCTGCCATCTAGTCTCATTCCCATAACTTTGCATTTGCTCGTGTTGAACTCCAGTAGCCATTTCTCTGACTATCTTTGCAGCTTGTTCAAGTCCTCTTGGAGTATCTTACAATCCTCATCTGTCACAGCTCGTCTCATTAATTTCGCGTCATCCGCGAACATCGACATACAGTATAGTATTCGACTCCTGTAGACATGTCGTTCACATACATTAGAAACAGAACTAGTGCCAACACCGGTCCTTGAGGTACTCCACTCGTTACTGTTCGCCAGTCTGACTTCTTGCCCCTGACTGTTACTCTCTGGCTCCAGTCTGTTAAGTAATTCTTTACCCAAGCAATTGCTTTTCCTAGGGCTACCTTGAGGTGCTTCCGGGGCTTAGTGTCCCCGCGGCCCGGTCGTCGACCAGGCCTCCTGGTTGCTGGACTGATCAACCAGGCTGTTAGACGCGGCTGCTCGCAGCCTGACGTATGAGTCACAGCCTGGTTGATCAGGTATCCTTTGGAGGTGCTTATCCAGGGCTGTATGTGTCTGTGTATTTACTATTTGTGTCTACAGAATCGAGCTATTAGCTCTTGGACCCCGCCTTTCTAACCAATCTATTGTTCCTCTATTATATCTTCTACATATATTTCTCTCTAATACATGCGAACACACACATTCCCAGGAAGCAGCCCATAGCATCTGTCTAACTCCCAGGTACATATTTACTGCTAGGTGAACATGGGTTTCAGGATGAAAGTAACTCTGTCCATTTGTTTCCTCCTCGACCGGGAATCGAACCCGGGCCCTTAGGACTACGACTCCCGAGCGCTGTCCACTCAGCCACACGAGTGTGTGTGTGTACTCACCTACATGTGCTTGCGTGGGTTTAACTCTAACTCTTGGGCCCCACTTTTCAATCATCGTTCAACTGTTCTGTCATATCTGCATTTGAGTCCGTGTGTGAATTCTGCCTCCAAAAATTCTTTAAAAATTGGCTCATTTGGGCACTCTTGTCGTCTACCTCTCTTATTGTGTTGTATGTCAAATAACCTGTGCCCTTCTTTCCTGCTAGTTCACCTGATCATTGTATACGTCGTGGTCATGTCTTCCCGTTTTTTCTCTTCCAGTGGCGTGAGAATGTGTGCGCGCACGCGCATTCGACTGTAAGGTAAATCCTTACAGTTTACGACAGAAACATGATCGAGGATGGTGTGAAGAACACTGAGTGAGGGGCGGAGCAAGGGAAGCTTGGGGAGGTGGTCCCAGGAAACTTGTCTAAAGTTGACCAGTGTTATGACCACACATGTACCTCCTCCCCCCCCCCCCCTCTCTCTCTCTCTCTCTCTCTCTCTCTCTCTCTCTCTCTCCTATTCACAATAAATCTTGGTAGAAGACAACCTGAGACGGTGGAGCGGAAGCTGGTAAAGTTGAGAAGGAGAGCAGCAGGGAGAGAGGACTGGGCCGGTCACTCACCAATGTGAAAGTTACCACGAGGGCGTAGTGATCTGGACGGCCGGACCCCTCCCACCCTTCCCCTGCGGGAGTCCAGCTTCCCTCGTTACGAAGCCTCTGGACGAACGACTCCACATGTCGTTGACATGTCTCTCACTAAGCTCGACATGCCCATCCCTTCATCAAATTAGACATGCTCCCTCTTACCGTTGATCTAACTATGGCCCCTCTTGTCATCAATGTAGACATGCCTTCTCTTCATCAGTCTAAGCATGTCCTCTCTTGTCATAAATCTGAAGAAAACATGTCATCTCTTGTCATCAATCTAGACGTGCCCCCCCCCCGTCATAGATATAGACATGCCCGCTGTTGTCATCACCATAGACATGTCCCCGGGCTGACCTCAACATTAGAGGTGTTGTACTTACTGCGAGGAGACCGTAGAGGCGGTGAGTGACGTGCTGCTGACGAAGGCTCGCCACCACACACACCCTACACCTGTTGATTGACGGTTGAGAGGCGGGACCAAAGAGCCAGCGCTCAACCCCCGCAAGCACAACTAGGTGAGTACACAGTCTACACTTGTTCACTGTCACACGCTGTGAGCATCACTGTGCAGCCTCCTCAGCGAGGCTCAGCACCACCACACTCAACACCTTAGTTACTTCACTCAACAGAGTTTATTTATTCATATCTCGATCACAAGGTCCTGGGAACTTTGAGCTTAGTCGTAAGTTTCCGATAATTTGATCTTGGTTGTAAGTTGTGGTAAATTTTCTCTCAGCTTCAAGTTTCAGTAACCCTTAACTACTAGCTTCTGAAATTATTTTTCTTAAGGAGTTCTGTGATGCCATAACACTGTTGTTGGTGTGAGTGAAGGTCCCGTGGTCACTACACCAGGCGACGGCTGCCAGCTGACTGGTAGTGTTGCACTGTCTGTGGGGAGCAAGTGGCGCGCGCGTGTGTGGGCAAGGTGGCACAAGACCTGTACACTCGCCGCCACACACCTCATCCAACTGAGCCACAAGCGTTACCATACTCCTGCCACGCCGACTTTCTTTTTAGCTGGGCCCGCCGGTGCCCGGGGACCCGCTCAGGCCACTCTGGTGCTGCAGGGAGGCGAGGGAAGGTGTGGTGGAGGAGCACCGTCTCCCGGGTGGTGATGCTCATGTCTCTCCCTCCACCTGCTGTATGTGTGTGTACTCTCCTAGTTGTACTCACTTGAGCTCTGGCTCTTTGGTCCCGCCTCTCAACTATCAATCAACTGGTATACAGGTTCCTGAGCCTATTGGGCTCAGGAACCCAAGACAGAACACGAAACAATGGGTATAAATTGGATAAGTTTAGATTTAAGAAAAATATGGGGAAAATACTGGTTCGGTAACAGGGTTGTTGATTTGTGGAACCAATTACCGGGTAACGTGGTGGAGGTGGGGTGCCTCGATTGTTTCAAGCGTGGGTTGGACAAGTATATGAGTGGGATTGGGTAGTTGTAAACAGGAGCTGCCTCGTATGGGCCAATAGGCCTTCTGCAGTTACCTTTGTTCTTATGTTCTTAAGTAGATGGGTCTACCAGGAGGGTAGGGAGCCTGACAGCTGAGTGGACAGCGCTTCGTATTCGAAGTCCTGAAGTTCCGGGTTCGATCCCCGGTGGAGGCATAGACAAATGGGCAAAATGTTTTTTTCACCCTGACGGCTCCTGTTACCTAGCAGTAAATAGGTACCTGGGAATTAGACAGCTGCTACGGGCTGCTTCTTGGGAGGGGGGGGATTAATAAAAAGGAGGCTCCTGGTCGAGGACCGGGCCGCGGGGACGCTAAGCCTCGAAATCATCTCAAGATAACCAGGGTGTCTAGCAAGCAGGTGGATGACTGGGGTGGGGTTGGCGAGCGAGGTCAGCAGGAGAGGTGGACGCTGGCAAGGACGGAGGAGGTTGTGCTGGGGGTGCTGGTGGGGGTGGCGGTGATGCGGTACCCGGGAGCCAAGTTTACCCCGGCGTGTCCGCCTGGCTGTCCTTGGCTCTTCCCCAGGACAACCATGCCCCTCAATATATAATAACAATTACAAACATATACTAGAAACTCACATTTAAAAAAATTACAATGATTGTAAAAAAAATTAAAATGAGAAGAACTTCTCCCTTGAGCCGGTCGGCCGAGCGGACAGCAAAACCAGGGTTCGATACAATGATGCCCCTGTAAAAAGGTAATTAGTCAAATGAGAAGAACCTCAAGATCTCCCTATTGAGAAGAACAAAACATGTACATACTCATTGGTCTAGATTATTCATGCGCGATGAACACCCGCATATGTTGAAGCTCCCGTGAACACTCTTACATACTCATCATTCACCTGATAAAAGACAGCAAGATTTTCTTAACTAATATACACACACAAACATGGTGTCAGCAAGGCGGACAGTGCGCATACTGTCATAACTTGGACCTGAAATCTTGGCGTGATCTTGTAAATTAACCTAAGATTCTTTTGTGATCTTGTAAAACACCTGAGATCTTGGTGTGATCTTGTAAAACACCTCAAATCTGTGTGTTTGCTGGAAAAACACAAGTCTGACCTTCAAGTAATTCATAAGTCTATTATATGATATATATATATATATTTATATATATTTCGTGTTTATTACAGAAGGCAATTTAAGTACTTTGAAGTAGTGTCAATAGTTTAAGTGCCAAGCTGATTACATTATGCCCTCAGTAAAGTATTTCTATAAATTGTCAAGCTGAGTTATGTTAAGTGGGACGTGAGAACTGGACAATATTCCACGTGACAGAGCACCACTGCTTGGAAGAATGAGCGATGTGGCCATCGCTTGGTTAGTCAGATGTAGCACTGTTGGGTCTGGCCAGTAACTGGATGGGTATTCCCGGCAGGGTTACCCATTCAAGTGATTAATTATATTTATTCAATTATATGTTTATTCAAAATAATATGTGTACAAAGAACATGAGAGTAATGAACAATTGTTGGGATGGGAGTTACACATTAAAGAAGCAACTAATATATAAAATATCATGTTTAGTTTTTTTAATTTTGTAACGGGTGAATCCCATCAATATAATTATTGTATTAAGTAGTTAATTTCGTTTTTTATACTATGTAACTGACACAGTTATGGAGATGTTAGAGACGAGGCCGTCATCACCCTCACAAGGGTTATGGGGCAACACTGACCTGTAAACCACGGCACGTGGGGAAGGGAGCAGTCAACTACATGTTTACACTGCCTCGCCGCCCTGGAAAACCTTATACCGACCTGACGCTGACGGCGGACATGTTTGGTGAAGGTAATGTTTACACACACAAAGATTTATCTTACACATACCCATGACCACATATGTGGCGTTACCCGTGACTATACCCGTGGTTATATCCATGACTATACTCATCTAGTTACTCTCGTATACCTAGGGTTATAATTATATGACCAGCGAAGCATTACTTACTCCAGCGATGGCCAGGATCACTGTTTGGCCGCCTGACAGAGCGGCTGGCGCAGACAAATTCGTAAAACACCAAACATGCGAGATAAATTACACACTTTTCCTTCGGCATCTTTTGTAGTGAGCTGCTCTGATGACCGCTGGGTTGAAAGTAATTTTCTTTTTTTTTCTTGCAATTATACACATTATTGTGTGGAGTCATAATGATAAGCCATTATCAGGAGAGAATGCGCCCATGACTTGTATTGCTTCCCGTCGTCGATATTCAGAGTGGAGAAAGGTGCGGCCGGTCGCTGTCTCAACACACCGCTTGTGGTCCAGGTAATACAATCTCCATTTACTTTCCCGTCCTTTTTTTATTCAGTTTTCTTTGCTTTTCTTAATGTGTCTGTGTGTACTCACCTATTTATACTCACCTATTTGTGCTTGCGGGGGTTGAGCTTTGGCTCTTTTGTCCCGCCTCTCAACTGTCAATCAACTGGTGTACAGATTCCTGAGCCTACTGGGCCCTATCATATCTACATTAGAAACTGTGTATGCAGTCAGCTTCCACCACATCACTGCCTAATGCATTCCATCCGTTAACTACTCTGACACTGAAAAAGTTCCTTCAAACGTCCCTGTGGCTCATGTGGGTACTCAGTTTCCACCTGTGTCCCCTTGTTCGCGTACCACCAGTGTTGAATAGTTTATCCTTGTCTACCCGGTCGATTCGCCTGAGGATTTTGTAGGTAGTGATCATGTCTCCTCTTACTCTTCTGTCTTCCACTGTCGTAAGGTGCATTTCCCGCAGCCTTTCCTCGTAACTCATGCCTCTTAGTTCTGGGACTAGTCTAGTGACATACCTATGAACTTTTTCCAGCTTCGTCTTGTGCTTGACAAGGTACGGGCTCCATGCTGGGGCCGCATACTCCAGGATTGGTCTTACATATGTGGTATACAAGATTCTGAATGATTCCATACAGGTTCCTGAAGGCTGTTTTGATGCTAGCCAGCCTCGCATATGCCGCAGACGTTATTCTTTTTATGTGGGCTTCAGGAGACAGGTTTGGTGTGATATCAACTCCTAGATCTTTCTCTCTGTCCGTTTCATTAAGTACTTCATCTCCTATTCTGTATGTAAAGAGAACGCTTTACTCATGACCTGTGAGAGTTAACTTAGGAAATGCCAGGGTAAGTTAGTACTAACAATATGGAAAGCTTAGCGCAGTTCAAGTTGACTGAAGCAGTTTAAATGTTGAACATAAATGCTGTTACAGACCAAGTCTCTTATGGCATTGTTCCCCTTAACAATGCTCTATCTTCAGCACTACACAATCGTTCAATTGATATCAGATTTTCATGTCTGTAATTGTATTTGCAATTATTTTTTATTTTTTTTATAAATCTAAAGTTGAATGTGTTTATGTCTCCAATTGTTAATTATTTCCAGTCCTATGAGGTAAATGTTTGGTGACTTCCGAGCTGCTAAACTTACCCGTCCACAGTGGTAAAGGTTTATGACTTCAGAACTACTAAACTTACCCGTCCACAGTGGTAAAGGTTTATGACTTCAGAACTACTAAACTTACCCGTCCACAGTGGTAAAGGTTTATGACTTCAGAACTACTGAACTTACCCGTCCACAGTGGTAAAGGTTTATGACAATGGAAGTACACAGTTGGTTAATGCACTTGTGCAACATAATGGTATTTTAAGTGATTTACTATTCTTATTGTCTAGTTACGTCTTCATTAGACAGTAATAGTAAAACTTTAGTTGTATCTTAATTGCTTCTTATAAGTTAATTGTTTCTTAGTAGAAGTTACATTTTCCTCACACGTTCCAGTTATTGCTTCAAAATATATACAATTTGATTTCCTCCTTGCTGTAGTCAGCACATGGCTTGGTGAAGCATGTTATGAATTGAAATTCTTCAATTTCTTTCTTTATTATGCATGTTATGAGTGAATTGAATGTTTGTCGTTCAACATTTGAATGCGAAAACTAGATTTAATTTATTCTCGACTTTATGAAGATGTCTGGTGGTGCTTGTTCACCGTGATGCTAGAATATGGGGTCCCATAGGGGCCCCAGGGTGTCCCAGGTGGGGGGGGGGTCCCAGGAGATGGAGGTGAGGCTGACGACCCAGAGTAATCTGAGTGTTAAAGCAGGCAGCAGAGCGTGGACCCCACCACAGGCTGAGACCAACTGACGAAACCTTCACTGTGGCCGCCCAGGGTGTGGTGGTGGCGGGAGATGACCAACACCCACCAAATAGTATCGATTTTTATTATATGGATTTTACACATTTATCTGGATAAAATTCGTTCACTGTGAATTTTAAAGATATATATATATATATATATATATATATATATATATATATATATATATATATATATATATATATATATATATATATATATATATATATATATATATATATATTATATATATATATATATATATTTATATATATATATATTTATATATTTATATATTTATATATTTATATATTTATATATTTATATATTTATATATTTATATATATATATATATTTATATATTATATATATATATAT